GAACTTTATGTCCACCCAATAGGCTGATAGGAGACAAAAATTGAAGCAAACAAATCAACCATCTTTTAAGAATCCTGCTGGTATGGAAGGATGTAATGATTCCAATTCAAAAGATTCCCAGTGGAAACATATGTGTGTGACCAACAGGTTGTCACATTCATTCAATCCATCCATTGAGAATTGGTGAAAAGGCAACTGTCCTAACCCAGATAGCAATTTTGGCTACATTCGGTGCCTGTCTGAAAAGGGAAAATAACTTTAGTTATTTTGGGTAGGCAGAAAGGTATAAAGAGCTTCTGCAGCCTCACCAGGAAGAGGGCTGGCCTCTTGAGCAGTAGTCTATGATTATGGGTTCAAGGTCTCCAGCAAATGGTGTTCTTTCTGCTCTTCTCTGTTAAATTATCAGGGTAAAGGGAAATCCACTCACCTCAAATTTTTTGCCAGTAAGTGGGCCCCTGGCTTTTCTAAATCTAATTTATGGAGTACTGTCAGGGACCTGCTCCAATTTCAGGCTGCTGAGAGGCTGACACAGGTAGGGTCTCAAGGTGGGAACTAAGTCTGCCAGCGGATATTAAAAACTGGGAAGTAAAGGGGAGCAGGAGTGAAGAAGACAAGGGAGTCAGAGGTGAGTGCAAATCTTCCTGCTCTGTCTTCAGCAGAGGTTTATTTTATACATTTCTAGCTGGCACAGGGATGACATTAGCATATGAAAGGGGCTGAGATCACAATCACCTTTTTTCTAAGAATAGTATGGGGTCATTTTGACCTTTACTTGAGATTTTAACATTCTAAAATCAATCTATCAAGGTTAAAACAGGTACATAGATGCACAAAGTTTAAGACTAATATTACTATAGTGAAGATTAACTAAAATAAAGTCCCTTAAAACTTATCTACTACTTATTTTTTTTTTCTGCTTGAGACACCCTAGGAGGCAGGAAAAGGAAATTCCTTGTAAATCAAATTACTGAAAAGTTCTTTGAAGAAACTTGTTAGAAAGTTTTAAGTGAGTTTCCTTGAGGTCTAAACAGTAGAAAGTGTAATTAGCTCTGAATTAGAGACATAGTTGAATTTCCTTATCTAAAGGCTACATAGTAGAATCCTGAAAGACTAGCCAGAAGACTTGTGTGAATTCCTTTGAAGTGTAGCAGGTAGAAAACCTGATTAGCTGTAAACAGGCAACCTGGATGAATTTCCACTTCTAAAGGCCAGACAGTAGAAAGTTTGAGTAATTCTTTAGAAGCTGAATAGAAGCCTAGGTGAGATTGTAGAGTAATAAGATTTGGGTTTTCCTCCATCTGGCAGTGAGAGAGTTATTGATCAGCCAGTTGTCAAGTCACTTTTGACTTCAGAAGAATTTCTCACCTTGGTACAGTGTTTGCTTGTCAGAGCCAGGCAGCACCTTATGTGGCTAAGGCAATCCAACTGTAAGCTGAAGGTTGCTAAGAATATTTTGCTATTACGATTATACAAAAAAGGGAGGTCATGACATAAGTTAACATGGAAAGGCTGATTTTTCAGAGCATTTCCCCTCCTTCTGTACCGTGTCTGTTGACAGAGGTTGCATAGCTTGTGTCAGAGTACCATAAAATTTTCCAGTTGATAAGTGAGCTTGTCCCAGTTTGTCAGAATTTACGTAAATTAACCATTCTCTAGAGTAAAACATTCACCTCCTCTTGATACAAAAATAAAGTCACAGAAACCATTTAAACACACACACAAGATGCCCCCATAAACCAAATTCTTAAGTGAGAGGTAGAAAATGAGCCCCCGATATTGGCCCACAGAACTTCATAACACCAAAGTTAACTGTAGTATACCTCACTTTATCAGACCATTCAAACCATGCCTTAAAAGTAGAGGAAGAGAAAAAGGAGAAAGAGGAGGAGAAAGAGCAAGACTGACTAAATTAAAGTTTGAAACCATGCCTGAATCAAAACATCCACAGAGTGAACTCTAAGTAAAGCTCAAACTTTTCTAAATTAGGAACAGAGAATCCCTAGCCAAATATCCTGCATTTACAGTGCAGTTATTACGAAGTGCCATGGTAAAGGACAGGTCACTGTCAATAAATTCTCACCCTTAAACAAAATTGAAAGACCATGTAGGCTCAGGAATAACAAGTTGTTTATTTAACTAAGAAAGGAAACAAAGAGTTTATAAGGCTACAAGTGGCTAGCTATATCACCCAAGATATTGTCCACAGTGTTCAGTAATCTAAAACAAAAGACCACTTATTCAAGATGGAGTTGTCCTGTCAACAAGGATCTTGAGCTGATGGCACACTGGATCCAATTCATAGTGGTGCTGGAGGTGCTCACGGGTGGGGCCACTCGGGTGATACTGCAGCAGCCCACAGCAAGTTTGAAGGCCAGGTTGCACATCACTATAATGTCTGGACAGCAATGGAGGTAACAACACTGACAAGCAGTACCAGATGATCAGAAATGGTGGACAGACCTCAGAAGTGGGCCACTTCTGATACAGAGTACTGGCCACCTGTCAAGAGTCTGGAAGGCACTGGCCAGTAATGTTGGTCATCACCTGCCACTAGTAGGTGATGTGAGAAACACCATAATTAGCAATTCTTTGTAATTTGTTGGCTTACAACACACAAAAATAAATAAATAAAATAACAACTCTTTGAGACACCAGGCTGAGGCTTATGCTGGTCCTTTCAGGTGAATTCAGAGGCAGGTCCCTGTGGTGATCTTCAGCTTCTCTTCTCTCTTCAGAGGTCAGCTGCTGGATGATACTTCTTTCTTATTTCTTGGAAGGCCAGGAATGGATTCTAGCTGGCTTCCTGCCTTATATCTCTTTCAGCGTCCTCTCATCTTACAAGTCTTATTGGACCATTTTCAAACCTAAATGATCAGCTGGATCAGTTAGCACCAACCAACTCATTCTTGATTTTCAATCTGAGTAATTAACTAATGAGCTGGCCCTGAAGCTGATTGGTTCATTTATAAATCTGGCACTAAGTATAAAAGGAAAAACTTGGTGTCTGCACAGAATCAATCTGTCCTGATCTCAGGGTAGTCTTGTGAGTTGTTATAACCAGAGCAGGCACTCTGCACCTGGTACCCTTCATCAGGGCTGGGTGTAAAAAAATGTGGGGATGAGGGGGCTGCAACATAACTGGGACATGGGGTTTTAGATGCTGCAGGTTGGGCTCCAAAAAGAGCCCAGGACTCCCTGGGCATCTCTACTACCTGTGGTTCCAGGGAGTTGCAGCACTACAGTTGGTCCACTGAGGCTCCATACTTTTCCCTGCATCCCTAAATCAGGGGCTGTGGGGTTTGCTGTTGCTGCATCTGCTATAACCTGCCCTGGAACAGGGCAACCCTGCCACTGTAGCCCCAGTGGGAATACATGGCCTGGGGCAGCATGGTAGGGGCACCATCACTGCTGGCCTCTGCAGCAGCCTGAGCCCCAGTGGGGCCACTAGTGTCACACTTCTGGGGCCAGCTGCTAAAGTCAAGGTGGGGTAAAGGAGTATTCTGCTGCTCAAACCAGCTAGCATGAGGCCATCATCAAGGCTGGCCCACTGAGGCATGTCTTAATGTAGCTCTCCTGCATCATTCTGCAGCAGGGTGGCCTGGAGACTGCTTGCTCAGACGCAGTGCACTGGGCAATCTGTGGGAAACTTCCACCACTATCATTGGAAACTTATGAGCTCCAAAGCTTAAACTCAGCTTTTTTTAAAGTGCTGCTCCAGCTTCTGGTAGGAACTCCCAAGGCAATTTCTGGAACAGCTGGACAGGAAACCACTGCTGCTGTGAGTTACTGTCAGAGCTTTGAGCACCTGCACATTCTGAGTAGTGGAGCAGGAAAACATGAATACCACTTAGCCTCCAAGCACCACCTTCCAGGCAGCAAGTTTTGGCAAAGCTGCGCTATCCCGAGTCTTGTACCATGGGTCTCTCGTTTCAGTTATGGTGACCAGTGCAAGAAAGAAATCCTTGAGTTGTCTAAACATGGGAATCTGGTTACACATTTGATGCCAGGCTAAAACAGAGCAAACCCTGGAGATCTAGCCTGACGTGATTAGTCTTTCAAAAACACACATATCAACAGTGCAGGATTTACTTACATAGGGAGTGAGAAAAGGGACAGCAGGAGGAAGAGAGAAGAAAAAGAATTTAATGTTCCATATAGTGTCTGCTGAGCAGAGATCAAGGTCCAAGCTGGCAGCTTCTCCACAGATATCTCTCCTCACTACATGTTTTAACTGTTGAAGTCTCAGCCAAAAGCCCAACAGTTTGATTGCCAAAAGCCCAGTAATTTGTCAGCCAAAAGCTCTGGTAGTTTTATTGACAAAATTCCTCACTTCTCTCCCTTTTTTCCATCAGCTCATACCAGCCACTAACGGGGTAGAATTTGGAAAGCACCATCTCCTACCAGGGAATGGGCTATTAGCATTTCCCACAGACTTGGAGATTGCTTCTCACTCTTCCACTCTTCCATATCTGTTCAATGCTCTCCGTGGTCGAACAGAGAGCATTTGGCTAGGTGTCAGTGAATAATGTCTCCCTCCTCTCAGTTCTCTTTCTTAATTTCTATGTAAATAAATCCTGTTATTATTTTCTCCCCTTCTGTCTGACTTTGAGTTGTGACCTGCTAGCTAAGCCCGTGATAAAATTAACAAAGAACCCCCCAGGTTTTTTTCCCCCTTCAAAAACACATTCTTATTTATAGATAAAAACTGCTTTTTTTTATTATTTTAAAATATTTTTTCCCCTAGTCCCTCTCCCTCTTGAATACACCCACTGCTTCTGGCCAGTTTTGTTCATCAAATATTAAGATCTGAAAGAGCAGGTTAAGAAGCACAAGGCCAGTGAGGAAACGTGCAAGGCTAAGCTCCGCAAGTCAGCGGGTGATGTCCTCCACCAGCATCACCCAGCTCCCAGACTTCCTCTCCGAGTGGAGAGACCCGCCTCACCAAGCGCGGCTGGCCGACCATGATCCCGCCCGCAAGTACGCTCCGCCTTGCACCGCCCAGCTCCTCCCGCCCCCTTGCAAGGGGCGGTGCTCCAGCGACTCCAGTTTCCGCTCGTTCCAAGATGGCGGCTGTGGTACGCGGCGGCGGCGTCGGGCCTCCTGTTGGTGGGCCATCCCGGTCGAAACTGGTGGGTGGGACTGAGATTCCTTAGTTTCTGTCTCATACCCTCTCTTCCAACAGATGCTGTCCTGGATCCGCAAGCTGCCCTGCACCAGGCGGACCCTGCACACTACCGCTATTTGCGCCAAGGTGAGTGCTTTCGGGACTAAGGACCGGGGATGTGTGGCGGTGGCTCGTGGGCCGAGAGGTGCCGGAGGGGTGAGGGATAAGAAGGAGCCGAGGAGAAGGAATGTTGAAACCCGCGGCCTGGGGTGGGCTCGAGGGCGTTAGTTTGGGGGTCTAGAGTGGAGAACCAGGATCCAGGACCTGGGCTAGAGTGCGGCTGGGACATAGCGTACGGGCGTAGTCGAGGCCTTTTTTTTCTTCTACATTTTAGAACCGGGCAGCCAGAGTTCGAGTGAGTAAAGGGGACAAGCCAGTGACCTACGAAGAGGCGCATGCACCGCACCACATCTCTCATCGCAAGGGGTGGCTTTCCCTGCATACAGGTAAGGTGCCTGTATCTGTGAGTGCAGAGAACCAGAATTTGCTGGGGGCTCATTCTCAGTGGTTACCATAAAAACATGAAATTAACACTTGTCAGATTTTACCAAACATCAGTTATCAATGGGAGAGTAAGAGATAAGTTAAACAACTTCACAGGAGATGTAAAAAGGCAGACATTTGGATAAGGATTGTTGAATGTTTTTGAAAGGGATACAAAGGTGGCTTTTTCCATGGGGAGTACTACTAGCAGGAGAGGTCTGCTTTGGGGATGGAACTCACTGCCATAGCAGTGGGTATACGAAGATACTCAGTTTACGAAGATGTCAGTGTTAATTAAGCACATATATTAAACAAGTTGTGTTTAAGTAAACACACATGAAAACAAAGTTTATATTCACAAAAATAGTATAACCAAAGACTTGTGAAAACTTAACCTTATAATTCCCTTAGGAATAGTAGTTAAGTAGTCTCTAATTCATTGTTCATGTTTTGTTTTTAGAAAATGACTACTTTGAATTAATAGGAACAAGTGACATTTTATTCAGTATGCTAGTTCTCCACTTGGATATTTATAATTACAAAAATACACTATCTAAACAACTTGCTTAACATACACATTCCTGTGTCTCACCCTTTTCAAATTCTGAAGTTCTACTGGGTGAGGGATAAAGATTCTTTTTTTTCTACATTTTTATCAATTTTGTTTATTTTTTCCTATAGTCTAGAGGAAATTATACAAATTTGGATCGTAAATTTTTTTTAATAATATAACAGTTTATTTTTACATCATTTTGTACTTTTCTTTTTTTTTTTTCATCTCAGTTGTAATCCCGGTGGGTTACCCATCACCAACGTAGTCTGTGCACTTCCCTTCCCCACCCCTGTTTTTGATTCCCCACTCCACCCCCACAAAATGTCTCTGGTATATGGCTTTTCATTATTCTTACTATTTTCTTGCCTCCTGCAGGGATAAAGATTCTTAAAAGATAATGTAAGCGTGGGCCTCCCTAGTGGTGCAGTAGGTTAAAGTGCAGCACTATGAAGCTCTCTGAAGCCACTGCAGCATGAGTTTGATCTCCTTTTGGGGAGGTGACTCACATGGCACAGCAGACCTCTCCTGACCCATCTGCTGCTCCCCTCATCAGTGTATTTCAGTAGATCTGCCTGTTCTGCTCCTCACACTGTCTCTGGTGCACCCTTTCATCCCCCACACCTCTAGTCTGTACCCACTTTCTGGTATCATAAATGACCTTTTTTTTAAAGATCTTATACATACAGAACTGGGGTATAGGCCAGAGGTATGGGGGGTGAGAGTATTAACCAGAGACAGTGTGAGGAGCAGAACAGGCATATCCACTAAAATACACTGTTGACGGGAGCAGTGGACAAGTCAGAAGGGGTCTGCCACCCCATGTGGGTCACCTCTCTGACAGGGGATCGAACTCTGCTGCAGTGGCCGCGATAGCTTCACAGTGCTGTGCTTTAACCCGTGTGCCACCAGGGAGGACTCAAATGAACAAATCTTTAAAAAAATAAAGGTAACGTAAAAGGTGTAGGGGTTGCTGGTTCACACAAAGACTGTGCTGGTCAAAGCCATGAAGAGGGAACTCATGCACCTTACATCAGAGGTAGGTATGATCTCTTCTTTCAGGCCCATAGGTTAACCAGTACTTCTTTAAGGTAGTCAAAAGTGAGAAAGGAGCTAGACATGGAGGAGTCTTCTGAGTTTCGTGTACTGGCTAAGGCTTCTACTGTCTATTGTAAAACAACGGTGATGGTACCTGTTCACAAGATTGGTTTGAGAATTTAATGAAACAACACTTTGAATTTAAAAATATTCATATTCCACTAATAGAATTAAAGAGGCTCTGCTGGAAGCTAGAATTGAGTGTCCAATATTCTTGGACATTATCTCTGGAGCTTTTGCTGACTATAGTGTTTTATCTTCAGGTAACTTGGATGGGGAGAATCATGCTGCAGAGCGAATTGTGGAAGATGTTTTCCTGCGAAAGTTCATGATGGGCACCTTCCCAGGATGCTTGGCTGACCAGCTTATCCTGAAGCGCCGGGCCAATCAGGTGGAGATTTGTGCCCTAGTCCTGAGACAGCTGCCTGCACACAAGTTTTACTTCCTCATTGGCTATAGTGAAACTCTGCTATCCCACTTTTACAAGTGTCCTGTGCGTTTGTACCTCCAAACTGTGCCCTCAAAGATTGTATATAAGTACATCTAGAACAGTCATTTCTTTTTTTGCATCAAGCTCTAGTCTTCAAAGAACAGAAACACCAGGAAAGGGGTGAAGTATAAATGGAAAATACTCAGGATTTGTTTTCAAAGTATGATTGAGTAAATAGTACTTATTTTTACTTCTCAATATGTCTTTACTCTTAGGATAAGGAAACTGGAATAGGATTTCTTTGAGGTCCCAAGCTATTGGGATATCTGCCACTTGTCTGAGATTTGGCTATTAGCTACAGTTTGGTTAGTAATATGTGTCAAATTGTATCAAGCACTTTTCTTTGTTTCCTTTCAAAATTGAAAGATCTGGTTTTGCTGACTATAAAATAATTTTTTTTTAAATTAAAGCAGTATAGACATGTATCACATAATCTTGAAACATCCTTGTATTTCTACCCCATGGAGAAATATGAACAGCTTTTTGCATTTCATTTCCATATGTTCTTTTTTCCACAACTACTTTAATGTATACTCATCATTGATGAAACAAGTTTATAACTGAGCACCTTCTCTGTACCAGCTAGTCTTCTAAGGGGTTGGGTCCCATCAAAGAACAAAAATTATTTCCAGGTACTTTGCCTTTATGGCACTTGTGCCTTTGGAGGACTGTTTGGTAGCCTTGGAGATTCCAGACAAGTGTGGGAGATAGACATGCAGGTAAATGCTCCCAGAAAGAGTGTTCCAGAAAGCAGCATATGCAAAACTATATTTACTGATGGTAATAAGTCACCAACCTTCAACTTGAATTTGATACCTTGACCATGACCCCACTACCCTTAATTTGAACTTGAGCCTTTCCCTAAACTTGACCCTGATTTTTCCCACTAAACCTTGTTTTCACTGGCAGTGATGCTCTCCCTGCGCTTACTCACAGTTTGACCTATACTCTCAACGTCACTACTCAGGATCCACTGGGACCCTTGATCCTGTTGACTCATAATCTTGATCATTACTATGACCCTCATGTTTAACCTAGTTATCCATTTGCATTTGACCCACACTTCTGATTTTGACCTTAGTATAAACTGACCTGAAGATGTTAGGACCTTCAGACTATGACTGACAGAATCTCACTCTATAACTAATTGCTTATCGTAATTGTTTGTCAAATACAACTGAACCTCAGCTATACTTAAGTTCCTGACTATCATGACCCCAATACATGGACATACTGATTGTGAAACTGAACTTGAATCTTAACCCTGTCACTGTAACCCCGATGGTCACCATTTCCTTGATACTGACCACTTGAAAGACCCAGATCTTGACCCTGATTCTTTATGTCTCCAAGGCATAAAACATGTTTAATATGCTGTAGTATCATTGCTATTGTGGTAATAGGCACCTTTTTCACATTGCATAGTTACTTTAAGGGGTGTGACATTTATGTTCCTGTCATAACAAGTTTGATGAGTATAATACCATATTGTTTTCGCTGTATTGTGCTTTGCATCTCTAGCATTAATTTACTACCTGTTAGAAGTTGGTGTTCTTAACAATTTTTCCTAATTCCCCATCCCTCAATAACACCATTTAGTTCTCTGGTTTTTTACAAGTTTGACTTTTTTAAATTCTACATAATAATGATATTATACCACACTTGTCTTTCTCTATTACTTTATTCAGCATAATGATAGACCCATGTTGCCACAAGTGGTGGGATGTCCTTTCTCAAAGCAAAAGTAATTGTCCATTTCATATATATACGCATAATATCCACATTTTCTAATTCTATAACAAGTAAAATGTTATATCACATCTATCTTTTTATTCAATCATCTATTCATGGACACTTAAATTGTTTCCATATTTTGGCTATTGTGAATAATGATTGAGAAATATAGAATAAATTTATTGAAAACCTGTTTTCATTTCCTTTAATTGTTTTAATGAAAGGTGGAAATGCTAGATCTATTTTTTAATTCTTTGAGGGTGCTCCATATTATTTTCCATAATGAATCTACCAATCCAGATTCCCACAAGTATTGTACAAGGGACCCCTTTTCTCCACATTCTCATGAAAATTTATATCATGTTTTCTTTATGATAGTTGTAATTATAGGTATGATCATGGTTTTGATGAGTGTTTCCTAAAGATTTGTAATTTGAACTACCTTATAACCATTTAGATGTCATTTTTGGAAAAAAATGTCTAATTACTAAAGCACATTTTATATTTTATTATTTTTAATTACATTTATTGAGACAGCGTGGTTTGCAACACATGATTTTAGGGGTATAGATTTAACCTCTACAAAGTTATGACAACACACCCACCACCAAAAACCCTGTAACCCCTCAACATAACCCACTGTTATAGCAAAAAAAAAAAAAAGAAACAATAAAAGCCAAAAAAAAAAAATTATATAAGAAAATTAGTAATTATATTTTCAACTTTTAAAATTTAATTCCTTTGTTTAATTTTTGTTGAGGTAATATACATGGTCATAAGTTAGAGAAATAACTTCATACATCCTTAGTTGTATATTGGTAGACCACAAATCACCACAAAAGCACCCATAGTCCTTTTTATAGACTATTGTATCCTCTCCTTTCTTTGTTTCAGTTTGTACCCTCCTTTCCACTATGGTAATCTCAATTCCACAGTCATATTTTTAGGGTTTGTTGCATTAATTTTGTCAATTCCTTTGTTTATATATGAGTGAAATCATCTGGTATTTGTCTTCCACCTTCTGACTTCCACCTTCACTGAGAATAATGCCCTTCAGGGCCCTCCCTGTCCCAAATGGGTAAAGCACAGCACTGTGAAGCAATGGCAGCCAGTGCATGAGTTCTACCCCGGGCAAGGGAGGTGACCCACATGTGGCAGACCTCTCCTGACCAGCCAGCTGCTCCCCTCAGCAGTGTATTTTAGTAGATCTGTCTGTTCTACTCCCCACTGTCTCTGGTGAATAGCTATTATAGATGAATAGCTTTAACAGCTGAGTATACATGGAATATTTGTTAAGTTTAATCCACTTAATCTGGTGTGGGTATAACTTGGCTAAATAGTGCTTCAGTGAACACAGGGATGCATATCTCTCTTAAGTTAGGGTAGTTGTATTATATCACTTTAATTAGTATATTTGCATTATTTGAGTAGATGTCAAAGAGTAGAATTACTGGCTCACATGGTATATTTATTTTCTTTTAATTTTAAGAACACCCATGCTGTTTTCCAGAGGGGCATGACCAGTTTATATTTACACCAACTGCATATAAGGAGGGGTTCCTTTTCTCCACACCTTCGCTGCTTGTTTTTTGCTTAATGGGACATTTTAATGGGAGTGAGGAGATCTTGATTTTGAATTCTGTGCACTTCATGTTAAATATTTTTTCCATTTGTTGTTGATCATCTATATTCTTTGGAGAAATATCTGTTTACCTATCCTGCCCGCTTTTTATTGGGTTGTATGTTTTTAAGAGTTGTATGAGATGTCCAATGTGCAAATATTTTCTCCCACTCATTAAGGTGTCTTTTGTTTTAACGATAGTTTTATTCCATTGTGCTATTTGTCAGTTTGATGTTGTCCCAGTTGTTAATTTTTGTTTTTGCTTCCCTTGTTAAAGGCCAGTTCTTAAAGACATCGCTGATGGCAATGTCATAGAGACTTTTGCCTGTTTTCATCTATGTATTTTATAATTTCCTATCTTAATCCAAGTTTTTCTTCATTCCTAACTTAATTTTTGTAATGTTGTGAGAGAGATGGCTCTAGTTACATTTTTCTGCCTGTTGAATTGGTGGCCAATTTTTCCAGCACAATTTGTTGAACTGACTGTCTTCTCTTCTGTATATTCTTAGCTCCTATATCATAGATCACTTGTCCATGCAGGTATAGTTTAATGTCTACATATCTGTTTTTGTTCCAGTAGCATATTGATTTTATTATAGTATAGATTTGTGGTATAGTTTAAACTCTGGGAGTGTAATAGTTCAGTTCTACTTTTTTTTATTTTTTGTAAGTATTGATTTGACTATTCAGGACCTTTCATAGTTTCCCACAAATATTAGTAATATTTTCTCTGTTTCTTGGGGGGGGGAAATCTATTGAAATACTGATAGTCTTCCATTGTATCTATATATTGCTTTCAATGGGATGGCCTTTTAATGATATTAATTCTTTCAAACATGAGCATTGAGCTTTGCATTTCCTTTTCATGTATATATCTTTGAGTTGTGTTTTAAAATTTTGTTGGATAGGCATTACATTTTCCTTGTTTTGTTTATTCCTGGCTATTTCATACTTTTGATGCTACTGTACATAGGTTTATTTCCTTTTAGTTTATTTGAACATAGGAATGTAATAGATTTTTAAATGTTGATTTTGTAATCTGCCACTTTTGAATAAATTTATTGTTTTTAGTAGTTTTTAGTGGAATCTTTAGAATTGTATGTACATCACATCATCTACTAATATGATACTGTTACTTCTTTTCTTGAGTATATAATGTAGGTAGAGGGTATATGAGTGATCATATAGTGCAGAATATTCCTATTTACATAGGTAATTTACAGTGAATTTTCTTTTAAAAAATTAATTATTTTTAGTTGTAATATGCCATCAAGTATTGCCATTATAGTGCAACCAACATCAAATAATCCATAGTCTATCACCACAAGCAGTGTTTTCATCCCTCATTGTTCTTACCCTTCCCCCCAACCTTGATACTTGAGTTTTATAGTCAGACATTAAGCATTAGTTTTTAAAGTTTGTCTTTATCTAATTATTGAGTTATGTTATACTATAGCTATCAGACATGATACAATATTTGTTTTGCCTTCTGACTTACTTATCATAGCATAATCCCTTCCAGCATCATCTATGTCCCTGCAAGTAGCATGAATTAATCTTTTGTGATTACAGACTAATATTTCATGTGTACATAGACTGTATCTTCTTGATCCACACATCTGTTTTAGGGAACTTAGGTCATTTCCATAATTTCACATCATAAATATTGCTGGAATAAACATTGAAGTGCAAGTTTCCTTTTGAATTAATGTTTCTGAGTATTTCAGATAGATGTCTAAGAGTAGAGTTACTAGGTCAAATGGCACATAAATTTCTAATGTTTTGATACACCACCATACTCATTTCCATTAGGACTAGACCAGTTAGCATTCCCACCAGAAGTGTAAAAAAAAGCTTCCTTTTCTCTACAACCTCACCGGGAATTGTTGTTTCTGAATCTTTTGATATGGCACATTCTCACAGGTGTGAGATGATATTTCATCGTGGTCTTGATTTGCATTGCTCAAATAATTTCTGTTGGTGAACATTTTTTCATATACCTGTTGGCAATCTGAATTTCTTTTCTGGAGAAGTGTCTGATTAATTCCCGTGCCATTTTTTGACTGATTATTTGTTTTGTTTTTGTTGAATTTTATGAGTTCCTTATATATCTTTGCTAGCAGTTCTGTCAGTCTTATGGTTAGTGAATATTTCCTCCCATTCAGTAAGATATCTTTTTGTTTTAGTATTGTATCTTTCACTGTGAAAGCTTTTTAGTTTGATTTAGTTCCAATTGTTTGTGTTCTCTTTTGTAGCTCTTGTTGTTGGGAATGAATCACTAAAGTTATATATGAAATGTTTTACCTTTTTTCCCTTGATGTATATTTATGGATCAGGTTTTACATCTGAGTCTTTTATCTATTTTGAAATACTATTTATGTGTGGTGTGAGGTAATGGTATAATTTCAGTTTTTGCTTGCTGCTGTCCAGTTTTCTCAGCTCCATTTCATGAAGAGATTACCCTTCCAGTATATGTTCTTGAATACTTTGTCACAGATTAACTGTCCATAAAGACGTGAATTTATACTGTCCTCTCAATTCATTTATTATTTTTTAATTCTTAATAATTTTTTACATCATTCTTCATTTTCATACAATATATGTGTTATCATCTTGTGTCTTTTGCTCCCCAAGAAGTTCCCTCTACCATTTCACCTGTGCACCATCACCATAGTCCTTTGTGCTCTTCCCACCAATGTTTTAATCCAGTTTCCTCCTCCCCCTGCCCTAGAAGAATGTCTCTGGTTTATTTTAGTTGACTGCTGCTTTTGAGTTTTACTTTGTTGTAATTACTTCTCTCACTGCCAATCCCTTATTTGGGTTGCCTCTACTCCTCCTATATAAAAGACCATCTGTTTGTTTGTTTGTTTGTTTGTTTTTTGCCTAACTTCACTGAGCATGATCCCTTCCAGCTACATTCATGTTCCTGAAAATGGCATGAAGTTGTTTTTTTTTTTCTATTGTGTTTATGTAGCACATTTTCTTGACCCAGTCATCTGTTTTTGGGCATTTGGGTTGTTTCCATAGCTTACCTATTGTGAATTGTGCTGCAATAAGCGTATGAGTGCAGGTGTTCTTTTGAATTACTATTTTTGTGTCTTTTGTGTGGAATTGCTGGCTCATATGGTCTTTTTAACAATTTGAGGAACCTTAACACAGCTTTCAATAGTGGTTGGACCAATTTGTATTCCCACTAGCTATTCAGGAGGTTTTTTTTTTTCTCCGTATCCTTGCCAACATTTTTTCTATGTGCCATTCTCATTGGTGTAAATGGTATATCATTGTGGTTTTGATTTGCATTTCCCTGATTACCAGTGATGCTAAACATTTTTTCATATGCATTTTGGCCATCTGCATTTCCTCTTTGGAGAAGTATTTTTAGATCTTTTTCCCATTTTTTGAACTTTGTTGTTTTCATTGTTTTTATTGAGTTTGACTACTCTTTGTTAGTGACTAGATCTTTGTCATCAGTCTCTTATCATTAGTATTATGGACAAATATTTTCTCCCAATTAGTGGGGTGTCTTTTTGTTTTGGCTAGTGTCTCTTTTGCTTTACAGAGGCTTTTTAAT